TTTTACAGCTGCAAGATGTTCCATTTTGTGGATCTGCAAATGTGTGTAACTAGTCTCCCAGTGCTTCCCAATGCTTACGTTTGGGTGCTTTCCAAACTTGCTATCAAAGCATGGTATTGTTTCCTTATGTCTGTACACAAAATCCTTACGTAGCACACCAAGGGAACGCCACCCGTTTTTCTGCTGAATGTTGCCAAAGTGTCCTCCAGAGAGGTTGTCAAGTCTGCATTCTGTTCGTAAAGCACAAAGAAAGGGTCCACGTTCCCCAGGGAACTTACATCAGACCTGCATCAAAATCAAGCCAGTGTGTCCTCATCTCTTAAAGTTCATTGTTTAAGTTTATTGAGGTACAGTTTACCTGCAATAAATTCATCCTTTTTACCATAAAGTACGCAGTGTAATTTGAATTTGCCTGTCTTTTAGTATAAGCATGACAAACTATTTTGATACTCAGAGAGATTTTTAAACCCCAAAATATAATGAATACAGCATTTAAGTAAGACCACTCAATTTGTACATTCTTATTTCTTTCAAATTTAGCAAATTTCATTCGTTCTTTTTTCTTCATTTTTTGTTTTTTTCCGGACGGAGTGTTGCTATGGCCAGGCTGCTCTCATTCTTCCTTTTATCCTTTGGCAAATTCAGAGTATGTGGTGCGATACCAACTGATTTCTTTTCAAATGTGTTCTTGCCGACTTTGGAGAAGTACAGTAAGACACATTGACTGTCAAGATGGAAAGCTTAACTGGGAAGATACATTTATTGAATAATTGAAAGGAAGAGGAAATGCATTACCGATTAGCCACGAAAATGCCTGACGCCCAACCTGCGCTTCAAGAGACTTCTGTAAATGGGGAGTCATAAAACTGTTTCGGCCCCAAAGCTCTTAGCAGCCCAAACTCATCGCTGCTTTGTTTCTGGGTTGCAGTGCCAGAGCACTGATGGACCGTTTGCTTTCAGGGCTGGCTGAAGTGCAGCGTTACAGTAACTCTTTGTAGCGCTACTAACGCTCTACACTTTGAAGTCTGGTGTACTTAAATACTGTAACTGAATCCTGGATCTATCACTACCTGCTTTGCTTCGGGACTTTTGCTTTTGCTTTTGCTTTTTTTGAGACGGAGTCTCCCTGTGTCACCAGGCTGGAGTGCAGTGGCACAATCTTGATTCACTGCAGTCTCCGCCTCCCAGGTTCCAGCGCTTCTCCTGCGTCAGCCTCCTGAGTAGCTGGGATTACAGGCATGCACCACCACGCCCAGCTAATTTTTGCATTTTTAGTAGAGACAGGTTTCAATTCACCATGTTGGTCAGGCTGGTCTCGAACACCTGACCTCGTGATCCACCTGTGTTGGCTTCCCAAAGTGGGGACTTTTGCTTTTTAGGAGGCAGCATAGTATAGATTTCAGAAAAGGCAGTTGGTGTTGGCAGAGTTGGGACTGGAACTCAGGCCTTCTAGTTTATGAAACAGGGACATGACTTCCAACAAGCAAGTTCCCTGAGTTCTCTGGGCTTATTCCTTATCTAGGCAGAGTGTTGGATTAGATCCTGCTGCTTGAAATGATCCAAGCTTCAGCAGCCTCAGCCTTACCCAGGAGATCCTCAGGAAGTCAGAATCTAGAGCCCCATCCCAGAGCTGTGGAACCTAGATGGGAATTGTAATCAGATGTCCAGGTGATTCGAGCATGCATTGACGCTGGAGGAGTGCCGTTCAGACTTGGAGCGTTCACTGGACAGGTTGGGTCTTCCCCGCATCTCCGGGAGCTTGTTGGAGATGGCGGTGACTGCTACAGCCTTGCACCACTCCTCATATTCCAGCTGTGGTTAGACTGAGTGTGAGACAGTGAGGCAACAGAGGAGACAGGAAAGTCAACTCCGGTGGCTTTTCCAGGGCCTTGGGAAGCAAGCCCAAGGATGCCATCTGCAAGCTCGGCTGTGTTGTCCAAATTCTTGAGGCTCATTCAAGAACAAGGAGGTAAACAGAGTCAAGCTGGATATCTGCAGTACTTCTCTATGTGTCTCTGATGTGCCTCCGTACTAGCATAAGTAAGTGCAAATGATATCCTCTGAATGGTGTCCTTTGGAAAAGGAAGCTCTCTTCTATTTGAGGGAGAAGCTTGCGACCGTGATTTTTGGAGGGAATTTGAATGTATACTTAGAAGATAGGAAGTATTTACTGATTTCTTCAACACTCCAATCTGGAGAGACCAGAGCAATACAAAAAAAGATTTTTTAAAAGTGTGCCTGCCATTGTATCAAGCAGAAAAATCCTAAAGTAGCTGTAAGCGGGAGTAGAGTCCCTGCTCATGCACATAGAACTTGTTGAGTGAAACCCTTCCTCTGCTGTGTGCTCTTAGGATGTCTGGGCTGCTGTTACTTTCTGTCCCAGACCTAACAGGCCTGTGTCGTATGTATGAAGCATGTGATTTTTCAGTGCATTTGATAATGGCTTGCTATGGGAAAATCTTGTAAAAGAAAAATACGGGACATTGTGTGAAGACACATTGAGGGACACAGAGCCAGATCCCTAACTGTGACATCTCTGAATAAAGGGCCTTCCTTTCTCATGGGATCTGGGGAAGGGCTTGGTGTGCTCCTTCAGCCCTGAAGTTAGAAATGAAGGTTTTGAGAAGCCTTTCAACTTCAGTTTTATCCTAAGCCAAAATCTCCCAGAAAGGCTGGCAAGACAGCACTGGACAGAACTGTGTGTGAAAGGCCCAGAGTTACATGGAATCAGGGCTCTACCAAGTGCCTGTCTTCCTCCCTCTGAAGCATGTGAAGAATGCAGCTTTCTTCCCATTTTGTTGGTGTTACTGTTCAGGCTGTTTGGAGAGACTTGAAAATAGCCGAGTTACTGTTAGCCAAAAATGTGCCTTGTTTATAAACCCGAGTTTTGTTTCTGCTTTTGTGCATGTTATTGGTTTCATCTGTGTTACCAAAAGAACATTGAAAATAATGAATTGCTTTGATGCGAATTCCAAGGAATAATGACAAACAAGTGTGTTTATACAACAGTACATAAACAGAAATATGTAAGCTGGGCACAGGGGCGGGAGGCACTGCGCAGGAGGCTGAGGCAGGAGGATCACCTGAGCCCAGGAGTTTGGAGCTGTGGTGTGCCGTGATCACACCTGGGGAGACCGCACCCTAAAACAAAACCCAGAAAACCCGGAAATACATAGAACCAGCAAGAACACCACATACTTTTCACATTTGATACCATGAGGTAAGAAAAAGTTCACGCCCAGCATAGTTCCTTTAAGAACACCTGAAGAACACCTTCATTTCAGAGGATGTTGTAATCTAGTCCTTTTCTGTGTCAAAACTGTGTAGTAATAAAAGGATGCGTCTTTTTGGCACAAAAGTGTGGGAAGGATGAATTTCCCCAGTTGTATACGAAAGTACTTACTCCCAAATGGGGCCACTCTTTTCTGTTTAATGCCGTTATCGGTCTTTCATTATTCTGCTTTGAGATTTTTGTGGAGTTTGGCTTATGGGGTACTCAAATAAGCCATCCTACTAAATGTGGACCTTAGACCTTTCGAGCTTTGGAGGAAGCACATCCTTTACATCCATACAGAAGCACCTATTTTCTGTATTTCTTTGACGATTGTAGAATTTCACTTAAAGTTAATATCCAAGCTTAGTCTCAATGTCCAGCACCCCTTCAACTTAGTTGGGTGGGGACCCCTAAAAGCTCTAGCAAATGTAGTCGAGAGGAAACTTTCTTTCAGTTCCCGTTTGCACCTTTGATCTCAGATGGCGCTGGGATCAGGTGATGGGCATTAGGAGACCTGCCTTTTGACTTGAAAGTTGAACACTTGCTAAACAAAAAATTATCTGTAAATGTCAAGTGTGTCCCTTTGGTCAAAGTGGCAAGTGAAGAGGAAGGGAAGGCCAAGAAAAAACATCCGTGTGATGGTAAATAATGTTTGACTCATTTGCTATTGAAAACACTTCTCTTTTGTATATTCAACAAATGTATTTGTTTTAAAAGGGAAAAATCAGCTTGTCAACTATTGTTTCTTAATTGTAATGCCATAAAAGACTTTCTGGAGATTAAAGAAAACATTCATTTTCAGAATGTAGTCTAAGCTGCATTTTTTCTTTTTCTTTCTTTTCTTTTTTTCTTTTTTCTTTTTTCTTTTTTTTTTTTTTTTTTTTTTTTTTTTTTTGACAGTTTTGCTCTGCCACCCAGGCTGGAGTGCAGTGGTGCAATCTCAGCTCACTGCAACCTCCACCTCCCAGGTTCAAGCAATTCTCCTGCCTCAGCCTCCCAATTAGCTGGAACTATAGGCACCTGCCACCACACCCAGCTAATTTTTGTATTCTTAGTACTAGAGACAAGGTTTCACCATATTGGCCAGGCTGCTCTCGAACTCCTGACCTTGTGATTCGTCCGCCTCAGCCTCCCAAAGTGCTGGGATGACAGGCGTGAGCCACCACATCTGGCACTTTTTTTCTTTTATAGAGACAGCCTCGCCACGTTGCCCAGGGTGCTTTTGATCTCTTGGGCTCCCACCTGCCTCCCGAGTAGCTGGGACTGTAGCACACAGCACCGCACCGGGCTCATTTTTAATTTTTTTTGTAGAGACAGGGTCTTGCTATGTTGCCCAGACTGGTCTCGAACTCCTGGGCTCAAGCAGTCCTCCCAGCTCGGCCTCTCAAAGCATTGGGGTTACAGGTGTGAGCCCCCATGCCTGGCCCTAGGCTTCTTTCTTGAATGCAGTCTCCTCTGGCCGGCCAGCCTTTTCTGTCCGCTCCCACACCCCCAGGTGCACTGCTGCCCGTGGGCAAAGGCTGTTCCCTCATCTTTCTCCATCCACCAGTGACCCCATTTGCTGTGGGCTCATGTGCCTGCGGGTGGTGAAGACAAGGACCCAAGCCAGGAGGGTTGGTTCCAGGTCCTGCTGCTGGGGGTGTGTGGTAGCCGTGGGGTTTGCGCTCCCTCCTTACCCCACACTCACATGTTGCCTGTGGTTTTGTCTTTGCTCTCTCCCATGCAGATCCGGAGTTAGGTGTTGGCACGCTACCAGAACATGACAGCCAGGATGCAGGGCCGATTGTCCCCAAGATATCGGGTTTAGAGAGAAGCCAGGAGAAGAGCCAGGACTGTTGCAAAGAGCCCATCTTTGAGCCTGTGGTGCTTAAAGACCCCTGCCCTCAGGTCACACAGCCGATAACCCAGCCCCAGACAGAGCCTCAACTCCAAGCTCCTTCTCCGGACCCTGACCTGGTGCAGCGCACAGAGGCCCCGCCTCAGCCCCCACCTCCGAGTACACAGCCACCGCAGGCCCCGGAGGCCCAGCTCCAGCCCACCCCACAGCCTCAGGTGCAGAGGCTATCCAGGCCACATTCCCCCACCCAGCTGCTCCATCAGAACCTCCCACCTGTGCAGGCCCACCCCTCCGCTCAGAGCCTCTCCCAGCCATTGTCAGCCTACAACAGCAGTAGCTTAAGCCTCAACAGTTTAAGGTGAGCGGCCAGTCTTTGGCCTGACTTTTGCCCTCTCCCTGGGGATCAGGCAGGTGGGAGTGGGAGAGGGACCCCCAGGGAGACTGTAGTGTCCTTGTTGGAAACATCATCCTTTTCTCTGAGACTGGGGACAGGGAAGGGGGCCGTTGGGTGAGTGAGACTTGGGTCTCTTGGGAAAGGACAGGTTCGGATGGGTGGATGGTGAGGACATTGTAAAGCAGCAACTCGAGAGAGTGAAGGCGGGAGAGGAAGGCTTGGAAGGCTGTGGGCCCGGGAACCCAGCAGCAGTGGAGGCTGGGGATCGAAGCCTGGGGCACATCAGAGGCCGCGGAGTGTGAGCAGATCCTTTGAAGGGAGGCTCTGTGCCTCTGATAGAAGAAATGTTAAAGAAAACTCCGTCTCCCTGCAGTCCCAACTGCAGGAAGCTTGGGGCCCAATGAGTATTCCAGTTTCAGGGTTTGGTTTTTCCCCATCGTGATTTACTTTCTCCTATGTGGGTCAGAGAAACAGGGAAGAAAGAAAACAGGCTGCATTGAGAGAAAGTGAGAAATTTCTGCTTGGAAATCCAGTGTCTCCTCTGTCTTGTTTTTGCCAAGTTAAAAAGAAACTTCTAAAAAGTAGCACAGAGAAACACAGTAAAGAAAAGAGAGGCAGAAACCCAGGGTATAGCGCCAAGTAGCACTGCCCCTTGGTGCCACAGGGCTACAATTCCAACCCAGCACAGCTCCCGAGACTGTGTCTTTGTTCCTGTTTTCCTGTTGAAAACCTGGTGGCTTTGGTGGTTCCGGCCCTTGCTTTTTTCTAAGAAGGGAAGACACAGTCTTTGGGAGGCAGGTTTCTTCCGCAGGGAGCCAGGCCTGGCCTCTGACCCCTCGGCCGTTTCTGTGGCCTCCAGGCCATAAAGGTGACTTGAGAACCTGGATTTCACCTCTTCTTTGTGTTTCCTCATTTAAGAGGTAACAAGACAGGTGGGGTGAACTCAGATCATGGTTTTTCTATTCCTTTTTGTTAACTGTTGCTTTATAGGGGATGTAGCTAGTGGAGGATGGAAGGCTGGCGATTTTCTTAGGGCAGAGATGAGAATCTGGCCACAGGAAGGAGAGAGGCCCTGAGGTTTAGGCAGAATGAGCTGTCAGGACACCAGGATGCCCCACGGCCCTGCAGCAGCAGCTTCCTCTGCCTGCAGTAGCGGTGGGGAGGTTTGCAGGAGTTGAGATTTCAGAGAGTGTCCGCACACGGGGAGGATCTGTGAAGAGGACGGGGCGGGAGAGACTGTGCTGACGGTTTAGGGGAGGGAGATGGGATTCTTCTAAAGAGAATACATTGCTTACCTTTTTTTCTTTTTTCTCTTTTTCTTGTTCTGATAGCAGTAGCAGAAGCAGCACTCCAGCGAAGACTCAGCCTGCCCCTCCTCACATCTCCCACCACCCCTCTGCCTCCCCGTTCCCCCTCTCCCTGCCCAATCACAGCCCCCTGCACAGCTTCACGCCCACCCTCCAGCCCCCCACACACTCACATCACCCCAATATGTTTGCCCCTCCCACTGCTCTGCCTCCTCCACCACCGCTGACATCAGGAAGTCTGCAGGTGCCGGGACACCCGGCCGGGAGCACTTACTCAGGTAGGATGGGGTGGGCCGGGGCTCCTGACCCCCTCACCCACCGCCCCCACAGGTGGCCTCACCCTACCCAAGTGGCCCTGATGGCAAGGTTGTATTTGCCTACGGTTTTCTCCTTCCTTGCAATCTTCTTCAAACCCTCCCTGGCCTGAGGTCCAGCAGAAATACCTTTCAGCCCCCATACCAAGCTAGCTCAGCCCCTGTGAATCAGACACTGCCCAAAGAGCGTGGGTTTGTTTGGAGGCGTTTGGGGGCATTTCCAGCCCAATTCAGCCACTGAGTGGTCAGACCCAGGTTGGGTGTGTCCTGTCGCCTGGTCTCCCCTGAGAGTGATCGAAGCTTCCCTAAGCTCGTGTCTGTTTCGCTCCAGGATCTTAGATTGTGTCCTGGTTTAAGGGGTTTCTTTTCACTGGGCAGGGCTTTCTCCTGCCTCCTTGGGAGAGGACACGCTCTTTGTGACAATATATCCCAGAATTTTAAGGGCAGACCTCATGGTAGACATGGGATCCTTTCTCCTCACCTGTGTTAATCAGGTCAGGTGTCACAGTTTGGGCGCTAATACAGAGAGCCATATGGCACTAATTGACACCTGAAGAGGGCATGCCAGCCCTGCCATGTGAGCAGCTGACATTATTAGTGTGCTGTCACTGTTCCCAAGCACTTAAATGCAAACTGCTTTAGCCCTCAAAAACCCACGAGTTAGGCAATATTATTGTCCCCCTCTTAGAGATGGGGAAACTGGCCCTCAGATGGGTTATTCGCCATGCCCGGGGTTCCTCAGCTGGTGGTGACAGCTGGAATGGGACTCTGGCATTTGGCCTGGAGTCTGTTCTCCACGTCGACAGACCACCTGCCTGTCCCTGGGAGCTGGGAGACCAGGTAGAGAACAGGGAGGCGGGATGCAACCGGGCCTTGGGCTGCTGGGCTTTGCTGATGGCCCCCTTTGATCTCAGGGCCCCGCCGCACCCTGTCACCCCTGCCACTGTGTCATGAGCCCCGTATCCCTGCACAGGAAGGCACTCCGATGTCCTGTTCTGAAGGAAAAGGCGCCGTCATCTTCCTCCTCTTCTCTTCCAGAGCAAGACATCTTGCGACAGGAGCTGAACACGCGTTTTCTGGCCTCGCAGAGTGCTGACCGCGGGGCTTCCCTGGGCCCTCCGCCCTACCTGCGGACCGAGTTCCACCAGCACCAGCACCAGCACCAGCACACGCACCAGCACACGCACCAGCACACCTTCACGCCGTTCCCCCACGCCATCCCGCCCACCGCCATCATGCCGACGCCAGCACCTCCCATGGTGCGTACCCCAGGCAGAAATGTGAGGATAAGTAGAGCACGACTCTTTTCATTACGCAGCACGTGGGGCTGGGCCGGGCAGCGGGGCCGCCGGAGATCGGGTGGGGAGTGCCGGCCGTCGGCTGGAGAGAAGGGCGTGTGTCCTAGTGCCCTGCCTCAGGCAGCTCTGACCTCAGGGGCCTGAAGTAGGAACTTCTTCTAGGCAGCTGTCTACGGCACCGTGGATGCCCTCAAAACAGTCCTGTCGAGCATTGATGGCTAACTTCTTAAAGGGTTGTTTTGTGTCCTTGAGCATCCCGGGGACTCTCAGCAGACAGAAAATGCACCTGCTCGTGGTCTGCAGCAAGTGCCCCAGGGTCGTGGGGGTGACGAGGAGAGAAGAGCAGGGACGGAGACCTGCAGGCAGGGTCGTGGGGGTGACGAGGAGCGAAGAGCAGGGACGGAGACCTGCAGGCAGGCTGGGACTGCAGTGGGTGCCACTTGCTTGTCCCGACCGTTTCCCTAAGCCCACTTTCTTAGAGGTGTTCTGTTTCTTGTATTTCCTAAGACAAGCCCCTAATCTGGTATTGTGCTCTGTCAGCAAATGTTCAGGGATCCCTGCAGGGAGGAACCACTGGCCATGACATGGTCTTGGTCTTAACTGGGGGCTACCTTGTGTCCGGAACCAGTTCGGAATTTTTTTTTTTAAAGTTAATAACGGTAATTGATAGTGCTATATTAGAATGCTAAATATTGTGAGATAGGGTCCTGTCTCCAACAGTGAGTGTTAGAGTCATTTTTTACCTATTTAATGTTTAATAGTGCAGGAAATACTAGATTTTAAGGCCATTACTATAGGCATTGTGAGAATAAATTGCATGATTTTGAAAGGCGTCCACTACACCCCACTTGGCTTCCTCTCCTTCCTCTCCCTCCCCCGTCTTGTTCAACGGACTTTTTTAAAGTTTGTTTTATACATTGTATTTCAAGGAATATTAGCAATGAGGCCTTCTGACCAAAAATATTTTTTAAATAGCAAATCCTGTATCTTTTTTGGATGAACTATGCTTCTCAACAATTAGATTTTGAAGAGCCTGAGATTTTGAGAAAGTTTTCTGCTGGCCTGTGTGAGCTGTTTCAGAAATAAATTTAACCAAGGGTAGTTACAGCATCAATATGATGACATTATTGAGAGGGGACAATAGTATACTCTCTTTCTGTTCAAATGGAAGGCTGTCTGGCCTATCCCAGATCACCTGGTATTTGGGTGTAATACATTTCAGAAGACAGCTGCATGTACAGTTTTTCTGTCGAAGTAAAGATAAAAACGGGGAAACCACTGGATAAATCAGACCACAAATGCTCACCTCTCTCTGATTTATCTGGATAAGTGTCTGTTTTCTCCCGTTCAGATGTTTGGTTAGTGCCAATATGTAGAAAGAAAGTGGTAGGAAGAAAGGCATCCTGGTATGTGCAGAACCCAAACGTACCGCTGGTTCTTCACTTTGTTCTTCCATTTCTGTTGGTTTCTTGTCAGGGAGACGTAGGAGCTCAGAACGGTTTCGTGTGTAATGAGGTTATTGAGTCTGATGACAGCTTAATGACAGGGAAGCTTTGTAGGGCCACCTCCACTGGAGCAGTGAAAAAAAAAAATGCAGATTAAGTAACTAGCTTTTGCTTTGATCCCTTTACAGTTTGACAAATACCCTACAAAAGTTGACCCCTTCTACCGGCACAGCGTGAGTTTCATTACCATGCTACACATTGAATGTAACTGCTTTGCCATTTTTGTGCTCTTGCCACAGATCAGTCAATGACTAGCAGTCTTCCTTAATCATCTTTGCAAGAGATCCCATTGCGCCTCGCCACTCTGGATGCTTGCTTTTGTGGTGTTTTGCTTTTGGTAAAGATGCAGTATTATCTCTTGAATCAAAAGATCATAAGCACTCCGAAGGCCTGAAAGCAGAGCTGGACTTGAGTGGAAGTCCAGCATCTGTCCTGCAAAGTGAGGTGTCTGCAGTGCAGTCATTAGAGTTCCAGGAGAGTCTGAAATCTCAGCATTTCAGTCGTCAGTGAATTACTTCCTCTAAACAGAAAGTTCCTTGTCTTTTTTGACTCATGACTCTTTAACAAGTAGATTTTCATTTGCTCTAGACTAAATGTAGAATCCTCTTCCATGTGGCTGATACTGTTCTGTTGAGTTTGTTACAATGGAAAGTAAAACTATCACTTAGTTAAGAGAAACTCCCAAAATTGAAATGAATGATATTTTTCTCTTTAAACTCATTCTCCTTTATTTGAAAAACAAAACAAAACTTGTTTAATGCAATTTTAGGAGTACGTTCTGGAACTTCAATTGATAACACCCTAAGTTAAAGTTCAGTTAACCTGTAAGAAGAGCTGCTTTTTATGCCGTGATCTTGAATAATTGCCATGATATTTTGATGATGGGGTGAATACTGCATCATTTTTATCTGAAAATTTGCAAGTTTGCCAGTGATTTTTTTTTTTTAATGAAACCAGAAAAAAGAGAAGGTTAACATTGCTTGTAGTCGTGTTGATTCACCACTCAACTGTTCTTGCTTTGATTTGTAGATAGTGTTATCATGTGAGTAGAAGTGCTACTTTAATGGATCAGCAAACACTGAATTCATTCATACTCTGAACCAGATAATTAGAAACCATGTTAGTCAAGAGTATGGCTGAGAAGTCAAGACTAGAAAATATTAGAAATCAATTGAGAATTCTGTACTCTAGAGGCATTTAGAAAGAGGATCAAAGGACCTTCCAAAAAAAAAAGTTAGAAAAGTGTCTTTGAGTGATGACTCCTTTCCCTCCCTCCCAACATGGTCCCCCCACATTCTGCTCAGTACTGGGATACAAAAACGTATTTCCTGGGGACACGCAAAACCCAGTAGACCTATGGGTTTCCCCTTTGGGTCTGGCCCATGGATGTCACCATTCTGCCCTTAGTCTATACTTTGCTGATTCAGAATAAGGACCAGCTAACAAAATAATTTATACAGAAAGTTTAGTGTGCCCAACAAGTGCTCAGATTTACTTTGTAGGACCCACTGTGGTGCCTTCTGAGTGGCATGTGCCACCGTCCTGGACTGAAGATGGAGAAGAAGCCTGAAGGCCTGAATTTTTGGAAGGTGTATGTATGTATTCTTACTTAGGTGATTCAGGTTTTTAGGCAGGGAGAGGAATAGTCAGCTCTGTGTATGCTCGAAGAGGTCAGTAATGGACTAAAGCAAAAAGAAAGTGGTAAGAACATCCAGTTTTTAAATTGTAAACATGAAAGGGAAAATGCCCACCTGGAGGCAGAGTTCTAGAAATGTGTGTTTTACTGTGGCATGTATTGAATTACTCAGCTTTATTCAGTGTACTGTGGGGAGTCACTTCATATTAGGAGGTATAGTGGATAATATGTGAAGTACTTAGTCTCCCCTGCTTTCGGGGTTAGAACATTATAAGGGGAATTAAGATGCAATGCACTCAAGTATCTAAAACACAATTTTAGACTTAAAAGTCGTTTTAAATGAGGGCACTTGGCTTGCAATCACTGTTTAAGTGGATTTAGTTCAATATCAATTAGTCTGTAAAACTTTGCTGCATCATTGAAGGGAGCAAAATGACATAAAGACCAACAGAAAAAGGACGTGCTCTGAAAACGGGATTGCGAAATGTGAATTTCAGGCATTACCAAAAATAGCTAATACAAATCCTTTATTAAGAAGAGCTTCAATTACTATGTTTTTCAGATAATAAACAAACACGAGGGTGGAGCATTGTTTAAAATATTTGTATGGTGGCCTGATGACAGTAGCTAGAACCAGACCAACAGGACCTCAAAAATATTAAATTTTTGGAAGGAAAGATGTGTTTGCATTGTCTTCAGATTGTCTCTATTTCTTTCCACAATTGTGTCCTTTTATAGGCTATTGATTTAGGAAAATTCATAGTCTTCATTCAGAATCATTCTTTTCCCGTCATAGAGTGGATTCCTACATGAAGGGCTTGGCTTGAGGGTCCTCCAAAGAGCTTGTTCATTTAATAGCAGATACCATTCAGAAGTGGCCATAGAAATTCAGACTTCAGACGTTAATATGGAAGTGCTTTGAGTACCTGAGACTTAGAGCAAACGAAAGCTCGATAGTAATATTCCAGACTCGGGTGATGTCTGTGCAGTGAGAATCCATCTTCTAGACAAATTGCCAGCTCCACTTAAAGTATACATGGAGTCATTTTACCCGTTCACAAATACTTGTCACGATTTTAGAGGAGAGAATTTCATTGTCCTCTGGAACTGCCACTTCTACAACCTAATGAAGCAAGGATTCTGAATATGCTCTCATTTCCTCAAACTATTAAAAATCTACAAGTACTAATTGAGTTTTAATGGTATAAAACCCCAGCACTCATGAAGACTTCTTTTTCTTCCCTTTTTTTTTTCTTTTTTCTGTCTCCTTCCCGCCCCCCACTCCATTAACTTGTAATTTTTGAGCATCTTATTTGGCTCAGGTCCCTCCTGTTGTTGAAATGCAGTGAAGTCCCCAATCATTTAGGACCTCTATCCAAAATTAATAATCAGAAAAAAAGCTCCCTTTCTAATGATGCCCTCATCCGGGACGTCATTTGCTGGCTGATTGATTCTGAACTACTTTTAACTTTTTAAGTTACACATTCATGGCACATCTGTGTGATCATTTCATCATGGCTTCTTGACTAATAGCATCAAACTGAGATTACTTGGCTTGCTCATGTCAATGTCTTTCTATGGGAAGGGAATTTGAATATGTCACTTGCCTCCTACTAAAATCTTTTTTTCCCCCTCTCCGTCTTTGGCCACAGCTCTTCCATTCCTACCCTCCTGCAGTGTCGGGCATCCCCCCTATGATCCCACCCACTGGCCCTTTTGGTTCACTACAAGGAGCGTTTCAGCCGAAGGTAAGAAACCTCAGTGAAAACACACAGGCATGTGTCTAAGTGGCGTCCCAGGCCAGGCGTGCAGGAAGTTCTGCGTCCTCTTGCCTGTGCAGTGACGAATCAGTGAGGTCCTAAGTGACCACTGGGATTAGAGTGAGCCTATTTTTTTCTGAGTCCGTCTAGTTTTAAACGGCTGTGAAAATTTAATTTTCAAACTGTACTACCCACGTAATCTCAGTTAAGCTAAGTTTTCTTGTGCTCTTTAAAATATACATAATACTTATTTATTTTTATTACCAATATTGTGGACATAACTTCTGGTCAGGAATTCTGTGAAATGTCAGACACATGTGCACCAAGTTATTCTTCAGATATATGTAATTAGTAAAGACACAAAGCTGAGTCCTTACTGATTTTAGTAGAAGTGGGGATAAAGGTTCCAAACGAAAATTGTAACCTAGGAATTCTTCTCATTCTCCCTCACTTCCCTCATCAGCCCCGTCAGCTGCACACAGGGTCTGCCCGCAAGTGGGGGGTCGCCTGCCATTCCGGTCCTCCGTTCTTTCTCCCTCTCTCTCGGCCATCCCGCCCCTGCCGTGGTTACACTGGCCAGGACTTTGTCATCAGTTACTAACATCCTAGTGTGAAATCAACCTTTATCCTTTATAGTAGCCAAATTCCATTCTACCTGGTCAGTGATAATGCCATTCAGCGTTGCCTACAGCTGTCTCTAAAGGTCAATATTGAAGAGTCATTCTCGAAGCACTATCTTTTTAAATATACTTACAGTTCCTATTTTACTTCCATACAAAAATGAAAGAGTTGTACTTCCGTGTGAGTAACCATTTTCAAACTTGAAGATACTTTGCTGTGTGTTGTTTGGGTTTTCTGTTTACCAACCCCCCCCCCACCCCGCTCCCCCATCTCATTCTTAAGGTAAAACACAGTTTGGGGACAGAGTCTTCCAGGATAAACACATAACTGCATTTCCAAAGACATGTTGCATTAAAAGTAAAGACAGGAAAAGAATTAAAAGGCACTAGAGGTGGGGTACCCGCCGCCTTCAGGATCACCTGCACTGATTGCACCCTATATGCAAGGTTCCAGATACGTAGGGCTGTTACGACAGCCTCGTTAAACACCTCCTATCCGGAGATAAAATGATGGTTACTTTTAAACTCCCAGTCTGCACTTTACTAGTCCCTCAGACCCTGGTCTGTCCCCTCTAGGTTGCACCAAATCTCTGGTGGCTCCCTAGACAGACTGGTAGGTCATTTAATAAATTAGACTATTTCCCTCACTCACAATTATCCAATCACACAGAAAACTACATCTGGGCGAGAAAGTGTCTCTCCTGGCGTTGAAATAGGCCTTTCCAGGCCATCGTCCTGATTGAATATGTAGATTGCAGTTCATTAGTGGAGTTCTTCATATGTATGCAAATCAGGCTGTTAACAACTCCAGCTTAATTGTTAGTTGTACTGCAGCTGATTGCTTTTCTTCTTTCATTCTCTTCTCCCCGCTTCTTGTCGTCAAGCCTCATGCCTAAACCTGAGCTCCTTTTCCCCACGACTTTAACTTCCTGGCATAGGGGGTGTTCATGGAAGTTGTGATTTCTTCAATAAAATAACTGGTGTTGTCTCCTGAATCCTTTCCCACTAGAGAGTAGTGACTGTGCCCAAAGTAGGCTTTTTACTGTTGCTAATTCAGAGGACAGAAGCTCACAGATAAGGTGAATATTATCAGTAATACCTGCGAACGGTGAGAAGAGGTAAGACACAGCGAAATCGCTTTAGAAGTCATCGAGGAGAGGATCCGAGAGGTCCCTAAGTTAGGTTCTCTCGTCGGATTCCCATTCCCACCACCGCTAATGACTGATTACTGAGTGTAATTCCTTGTTATTGTCTACCAGTTAAAATTGGGAGCTTAATGTCTGTAAAATACTTTTAGTGATTCTGATGGGAAACACCTGATACTGCCAATTATAATAACGTTCACTTAAGCATTTCTTAGAATATATGGTGATTAAGCAGAAAAAACCAATGACAGTCGCTGCCTTGGGTTCCCTCAGAAGAGGAGGCGATCCAGGGCAGCATTTACATTTGTTGCTTCTGTTTTTCGGTCCTGTGCCTTTTATGGCAGTGAAATGTTCTGGGGACCTCTCTCTGCTTTTAGATGCCATTGCTGGAGAGAGAAAGCTGTGGTCAGGCCCCCTTGAGAAAGAGCCTGTGTGCTCCCTGAAAAAAATGAATCCTGCATTTCAGAAGCAAACAAACAAATGAAGTTTGGCTTGTCTCATTTAGAAGGAGAGAAGGATCTTGCTTTTGCGTCACCTGTTCTGTGCTTCCTAAGCTGTGCTCTAATTAATTTGTAGACATCCAACCCTATTGATGTCGCTGCTCGGCCTGGGACAGTCCCACACACTTTACTCCAAAAGGACCCGAGGGTACGTGCAAAGTCAGGCTTGGTCTCAGGTAACACCAGGGGGTGTGTGTTTGCACGGGCCAGCCAGCCCAGGGCTCCCGTCTTCCTTAGCTCCTTTGAGAGAGCTGCTATTTCAGCTGTTCTTCTATTTGGTGGAGGAAAATGCCAGTTACTCTTAAGCACAGTCTTTCCTGCTCACTGTGGGCATATGACACAAAGAGACTGACTTGCCAATGCGAGAAAAGAGGAATGACTTATGGTCCCAGCCCAGATATTGGACATTGTTAGCTTGTATACAGTTTTTACTTAACCAAACTTCTCTGTCTCCTTGAATTTTCTTACATAAACGAGGTAGCTAGCGAATGTTCTGAATGGAAAGGCACGAAAGCGCTAAGTGCTTTTCTTCCTGGAAGTCAGGCTACACGTCCTCCCCCTTGCCTGGGGTCAGGAAGTTATTGTACTGCACGGCTCTTTGGCCCTGTATTTTTAATGTGCTAGGGATCCTTTTGTACTCTAGAGCTAAATAAAATATCCATTATGCTTTGGTTATATTGTTTATTCATAATTTATTACCACTGCTACTTCCAAAAAAGGAATTTGAAGTTACACGATAGATAAAATTTTTGCCTCATTGTTATTTATAGTCTTTATACTAAGTATGAAAAAATAATTATCTTTAACAATATTGTCTTTTTACCTACATAAGGGCAGTCAGAAATTGATAACCAGAGTTAGATAGAAGTTTAAAATGACTCAACTATGTAAGTATGTTATGATGTGTAGTGAACTTCTTGAAAATGTCTAATAGCTATAAATAATGTAAAGTCATCAATTTAAGGGTATTGGTAAAGATAGCCTAATCCTACTGTATGCATGGAAAGGACACCTCTCCCCAGATACCAGTTGGTATACAGCTTTAACAGCCTGGGGTCTGAAGGTCATTCTCCCTCAGACCTACCTGGTGTGGTTTGGAGCCTAAGACAGTGAAACTCCTGGTATGTGATGTGAGCAAATCATGGTGCCGGAGGGCACGTTGCTATTGATTAAACTTGTCAAGGGGCTTGTCAGCGGACATGTGCCACGGCTGGTGAAGTGGGGGAGGGGACGCTTGGCACTTTTGATAGTGTGAAAATGGGTTAATTATTCTCTAAAAGGGCTTCATTTAAAAGTAAAATTCTAACATTTTAATTTCCCCTCCTAATGAAGCACTACAAATTTGTTAATTAGAGCGATTGTTTGAGTGACAGGCATGTAACCAAGTTGTCATTTTCTCTTCACAGTTGACAGATCCTTTCAGACCTATGTTAAGGGTAAGAAAGCTTCTTACAGAACTGTTTTGCAACCTCTATTTGACTCCCTGTGAGTTAAAAATACAAGTCTATTACAAGGCAATAAACCATGGAAGAGTTGGAATAAGACACGCAATGGCAGTGATTGGGTTTTTCAGGTAGTGTGATTGGAAATGGCCCAAGTTGTTTAGCTTTGCCGGTTGGAGGAAGCCAGGCCATTGGCTTTTCATCTACCAAATTCAGCTGAGTCTGATCTCTTGTTAGCGGTTCTGGTAAAAGATTTGACTAGTTGGAACTTAAGGGGAAAAGACTTCAGCTGTGGACTGAAGTTAGTCTCTCTTGCACTTAGAAAATACGTATCTGGGTCGATTTATTTTGGCTGGCGGCTCCCTTTTTTTGCACTAAGTGACACGGACTTCTCATAGCCTTTTGACCTCTTTTTAAGGTGCAGGAAGGAGATACTATAAGCCTTTGGTTTCTCGACATCTTGCTTAAAGCAAATTGTTCTCGAGGTCTGGAGAGCGGCCAGTGCGATGACCTCTAAATGAATGCCGACTTACCTGGGGGCTGTAAGGCAGACATGGTGACTTGTTGGACAGAAGATGGATAGACAGCAGATTTCTTGCTATACTTAACTCATTTCTAGGGCATATAATCAGATAATTTGATTTCTCCAGGGGAAAAAGGAGAATTGTGTCATCACTTAGGTGAGGCAGTATATTATTTGTGATTTCAAACTACCCATAATTTCATTGCAAGAGAACTGACCCAGACTTGCATTTCAGTCTGTGTTTCAGATACAGCTCCTTACTGTAGAAACCAGAATCTTCTGCTCTTTGCTGCTGTAGAATGAGGCTGTGTTTCTTCTCATCTATCCAGTAGTGTTACTGAGCACGCACTCCGAGCTTATGGGTAGATTACTTAGTGGAAATGAAGCGAGGAGGTGGTCCCTGCCCGCTGACTGGTAGAAGAGAATACACTCACAGCACTCCACTCCATATAAAGCGAGACATGAAAATAATTGGAGAGCTGTGGATTCAAATTCAACCCCAGAGGGTGGAGGCAGGACTTGAGATCTAGAGAATAGGAAGGAAAGAATTCTTCTCCTTGTTTCTTTTAACTTAAGAACAATCCCCACCAACATGAATGGGTAGTTGACTCTTAGCATTTATGGTCACTGGGCTTCAATCAAAATGTGGTGTATTTCTTTGTACCACTTTGGGGGTTCAAATAAAAACCACCACAGTCTTGGGGGAGGTTAGGACAGGCTCCGTACCCTCTTATTTTGAGTTGACTCACAGACATGCACTAATGAGCTCTTCGGAACAGCTGATTTGCATTATAGCATGGCAGCATTTGTTAAGTAGGTCTCCCGCTCTGCCAGCTGGCATCAGAAAAGAAAGAGAGAAGACACAGAGTGTGGGATTCAGGCTTTTGCCATCTTGTCCTTGGTAACCGGGGAGGTCCTTGTCAATGTGGTTTTCTGAGTAGCAGCCCTCGTCGGGAGAGAGGGGGAGCTGGCTGTGATTCCCTTGTGACTGGGCTGGAGAGCTGCTGATGGAAGGCACTTCGAGAGTACAAAGCACTCTTGTTTCATGGAGGGGGAAAAAAAAAAAAAAAAAGCCTCTGTAGCCAAAATCTGCTGAAAGCTTTGGGGAAATTGAAGGTGGTTTTCTCTGAAATGTCTTCGTCTTAACCACGTTGCTCTTTCTTGTTCCAGAAACCAGGGAAGTGGTGTGCTATGCATGTTCACATCGCCTGGCAGATTTACCACCACCAACAGAAAGTCAAGGTCAGTCCAGCCTTCCTGGCACAGGGAAGAATGGGATGGGGATGTGAGTGTGTGACCTACTCAGGAGAACCTGCTTAAGGAGGCATTTAAAACAGGTTCTAAAGACCCATAGTCAGGAAGGATCAAGCCCCTCTTGGAAAAGCTACTCAGAAGTCTTAGCTTTTATTTTTTTCCTAGAGTCAGGATCTCACTGTGTTTTCCAGGCTAAAGTATACAAGGGCACCATCATAGCTCACTGAACTCCAGGGCTCACCTAATCTTCCCTCCTCAGTCTCCCAAGCAGCTGGGACTTTAGGCATATACCACCATGCTTGGTTAATTTTTTTTTTTTTTTTTTTTTTTTTTTGAGATGGAGTCCGCTCTGTCACTCAGACTGGAGTGCACAGACATGATCTCCGCTCACAGCAACCCCTGCCTCCCAGGTTCAAGCAGTTCTCTGCCTTAGTCTCCCAACTAGCTGAGATTACAGGTACCCACCACCACGCCTGGCTAATTTTTATATTTTTAGTAGGGCTGAGGTTTCACCATCTTGGCCAGGCTGGTCTTGAACTCCTAATCTCATGATCCACCCACCTCAGCCTCCCAAATTGCTAGGATTACTGGCATGAACCACCACGCCCAGCCTTCTGGATTATCCTTGAAGAGGTGCTCCCACTGTGTTGCCCACGCTGGTCTCAAACTTCTGGCCCCAAGCAGTTCTCCCATCTCAGCCTCCCAAGTAGCTGGGATCACAGTGCAAGCCACAGCAGCCCAAGAGATCTGGACAGCAGCCAGGCCCGTGGCTCACACCTCTGATCCAAGCACTTTGGGAAGCCAAGCTAAGCACTTTGGATCGCAGAAGCCCAGGCATTCGGAAATCATACTGTTCATTAGGGAAACCACGAGTGAAATTACAAAACAAAAACAAACTGATAATGCCCTTTTTATAAAAGGTGTTTTGTTCCTCCCCTTTTTATAATTTGGTCATTTTATTGATCCAAAGGGCTTGAATATGGATTAAGTGGTAAAATAAAGCTTTTGGAAATAAAATTATAGCAACCAAGAATAAGAATGCACAAAATACTTTGCATCTGGGAAGAGCTACAGATGAATGTTGGTTTTGGGTTTTTGCAAAAATGGCGACTGGTACATTCTTTTCATTTTCTGGCTTTGGGGAAATGTTGGCATCATGCACGCCCTACATGAAGACGTGGCTGCTGCACTGTCACTGGCCCTCCTGTTGGTCAGTCCCGGCAGGAGCCACGTTCTGGCCAGTTACCTTGCTTTCGTGCAAAGATGATTTTTCTTTTTTGTCTGTATTTTCATCATAGGGATGAATATCTTCTATGATTTGCCAGAGCCTTTATGACTCAGTAGGAAAGAGCTCAAGAACTTCCACAAGTGACTGGCTACAGGATCAGCGCTTGGCTTAGGGAACGAAGTAACTAACAAGTCTGTATTTTACAGTCTGGGTATTTACAGGCTGTGTGATGATGCCGGCATCAGCGGGAGCAAACAAGCAATCCAATAAGCTTCACTGAGTCCATTTCTTCACGAACGAGCTTTTAGTGCTAAGGGCATTTGGGAGCTCTCATGAAAGAAATACAGGAGACCAGTGAGCCAGGACATAGAGCTCTTCGTCCGGAAGAGAATTGTCTTTAAAAGGGTGACATAATTTTTTAAAATAAAACAACCCAAGTCCCACCCACTCGAGAAGCTGAGGCAGGAGCATCCCTTGAGCCTTGGAGTTTGAGTCCAGCCTGGCTAATATAGCAAGATCCCATCTCTTAAAAAAAGAATGAATGAGTAAAAAAATAAAACCTAGTTAAAAGTTAAGCAACAAACCTCAGTAAATGAGGTCACTAAGGTATTTTGCTTTGATTGCCAAATACCTCCTCTTTCTTATGGTATGCGATCAGTGAGTTTGGTTCACTTGTACTTTATCGTTAGGGCAAGTTTCACGGGAAGCCTTGTGGTCTGTCTGAGAAAATGTGTGTGCTCTGAAGAGCTAACTAGACTTTGATGATGAGTTCAATTCCCGTTCCGTTGCGGTTGATGTGGTTAGTGGAACCGTAGGTAAAGCACATCTTCCCTGTAACTTCTGTTAAAAGCGATGAGGGGATGCTGCACGTGCCACTTTAGCAACTTCTCTTCTGTCAAAGTGTCCCCAGTGACTTAAACTTTCATTATCCCAATTCAATTAGAAGGACCTCTTGAACACGAGATAACTGCGTTCATCTTCCCTTTTCAGCAAACTGCTGGTAATCCCCAAGCTCTGTTTTGCTTCCTGGCCCTAAGTTGTGGTTAATGGAACTGTGCTATGTACCATGCAATATTAGCACTAAATAATTTGGCCACCAAATTAAAGGAGGTACTCAAAAGATTTTTATAGATTCATAGTGAATTAGAAGCTTGGTTTTGAGGCTTGGCTATTACTTGATAGTGGGACTTTCATTATAGCATTCCCTGTAGACTTGAGCAGAAGCTGCATCTTCCCTTTCTCTGTAACGTTCATTTACGCATTCCTTTAGTCACTCACCCGGTATTTACTGAAAGAGCCTACGCCTGCAGGTTCCTCACTGTGCTGGGCTGGGGACATGCATCCTTCCTGGCATCCAGTTGCTGTAGAGTTCAGTAATGAGTATGTGTATAAAAAGTGAGGAAAGGGCATGTGCCCTCTTACTGGGTATCACTTCCAGCTAGAGGTGCCACGGGTAGGTTTCGCTTTCAATGGTGGTGATGGATAGTGGGACATTGCCTTCAGCAGTAAGAGAATGCCAGACTTCCCTGTCTCAGACCCTCACGCCGTGCTCTGTCAACATAGATGCCCCCTCATGGGGCTTTGCTGTTGCACAGCAGGGCAAGGATCCCTCAGCACATGAGGGAGTTTGAGCTGAGGCTAGAATGAGGCTAAAGGGGCTGAGAGCATCAGATGAGTTCAAGAGATAGGAAGAGTGGCCAGGCACTGTGGCTCACGCCTCTAATGCAAACATGTTGGGATTGCTTGAGCCCAGGAGTTCAAGACCAGCCTAGGCAACAGAGAGAGAGACCTGTCTCTATGAAAAGAAAAATAGCTGGACATGGTGGCATGCATCTTTAGTCCCAGCTACTCAGGAGACTGAGGCAAGAGGATCACTTCAGCCCAGGAGGTGGAGGCTGCAGTCAATTATTATTGTGCCACTGCATTTCAGCCTGGGCAAAAGAGTGAGACCCTGTGTCTTTAAAAAAAAAAAAAAAAAAAAAAAAAGAGTGAAAGTGAGAAGCAGGTGCTAAGGGCAGTGAACACCCAGGAGACGGGATGGGGAAGAAGGGAATGTCAGCTGGATTTGGCAAGTCCCAGGACCCCAGGCCCCGGGTGCCGTGCTTGTCTGAGGTGATGTGAAGCCTGTTCAAAGAGAAAGCTGTCAAGAAACAAGGAGGCAGGGCAGTTCTGAAACCATGCTGGTGCAAGAGCCTCCAGCCTAGAGGATGATGTCAGAGACAAAGACTGAGAGGAAGATTTTGAACCAGTTTATACTGCCTAAGAGGATGGTAGGCGGAAAGATTGGCCTGGTGACGGATAAGTAAGAGGAAACAGTGATTTCTGTCCATGATAAGGCTTTCACACAGTCTTTTTTTTTTTTTTTTTTTTTTTTTCTTTGGAGACATAGTCTCAGTCACTGCAATCTCCAGCTCCCAGGTTCAAACAATTCTCATGCCTCGGCCTCCCAAGTAATCGGGACTACAGGTGTGCATCACCACGCCCAGCTGATTTTTTGTATTTTAGTAGAGACAGGGTTTCACCATGTTGTCCCAGCTGGACTTGAACTCCTGAGCTCAGGCAGTCCACCCGCCTTGGCCTCCCAAAGTGCTGGGTTATGGTTTACTTACTTGGACCAACCCCCGCCCCCCAACCCTTTCCTCAGGTAATTGCAGTTGTTAGGAAGAGAAAAGGCCTCTGTTAGTTAAATTAATACTCCTACTTTGTTTTTCTTTGTTGTTGCTGTTTTTTAATTATGTAACAACGATCATTTGAAAGTTAGCTTGTAGACATGCAAATATTTCTTTGTAGCTTTGGTTACTAATGTACTGTGATGTATTAGAGTAATAGCAAAGAGTCATTAAACAATTAATTTATACAGATTATTCATGCAGAATTCCTAATAAAATGGTTTACAACACTATTATTTTAAATCTTAAGAAAATGGACCTTTAGAGCAAAATACTGAACTACTTTGGGAGTGGTGGCAGTCTCCAGAAATGGGATATGGTTTTATTTCTCAAACCATTAACTTTAAAGACCAAACGCAGCTGGGTGCAGTGATTCACACCTGTAATCCCAGCACTTTGGGAGGCTGAGGCAGGCAGATCATTTCAGGTCAGGAGTTCAAGACCAGCCTGGCCAACATGGTAAAACCCCATTTCTATAAAAAATACAGAAATTAGCTGGGCGTGGCAGCAGGCACCTGTAATCCCAGCTACTTGGGAGGCTGAGGCAGGAGAATCATTGACACCAGGAGGCAAAAGTTGCAGTGAGCCGAGATCACACCACTGCACTTGAGCCTGGGCGACAGAGTGAGACTCCATCTCAAAAACAGGAAAGACCAAAGGCCAGTGTTGTCACTTGGTGTTTCTGGTGTAGCAGGCTGTGGGCCTGCAGGTCTGACAGCTGAGGGTGGAACGGCTTTCGGACCTCTGCCTTCCTCTCCCAACGCCTGTACCCTTGAGCCCCGGTGCACCGTTCACAGCTCCCGCTCTTCACTGACACCTTTCCTCCTTGCTGTTGGCTCAGGGGTTTCACCTCTTACTCTTCCCCTTGCTGTGTAGAAACAGATGCAGTCAGACCCACATAAGCTGGACTTTGGACTGAAACCGGAGTTCCTGAGCCGCCCTCCAGGCCCCAGTCTCTTTGGAACCATCCACCACCCCCATGACCTGGCACGGCCTTCAACTTTGTTCTCTGCTGCTGGTGAGTGTGGGGTTGGGTCGGGGACCGACCTGAGAAATTGTCCTCAGGTAACTAAATAAATGACGTTCGGGCTCTGTGCTGCCGCCCAGTCACAACCTCCAAGTACACAGTTCATGCCAGCCTGCCAGCTCGCATCATAGCACATCCAGGGAGATGGGCCTTCCTCATTGATACACTCGTTTTATTAAAGGAGGAAGCAGAGATCGTGTTTCCCTCACAGGGATTCACGCTGCTTCCATTCATTATTCGCTTCTATATTAAACCAGCATAACGCACAAGCACGTCCATTGCTATTGGGAAAGATCAGAAGGCTTGCGAGGGCAGATCGGAAGGAAACAATGCCAGGAATTACAGACGGATGCGGCCGCCCTTACTGCGGTGCCCGCAGAGCACTGTAACTTTGCCCCGGCATGCTCGGTCATGCTGTGGTTTGAAGGTCTGAGGACAAAGAGAGCCGGTTAAGGCGGTTGCTGGGAGGATGGTCTGTGATAGGGCGGGTGCGTGGCTCAGTGGCTGGTTTTCTCTGCTACAGAACGTCACACCATTGCCTGGTTGGTTATAGCAATGGAGGAAATTAGGGAAACGGTGTACACACCCAGGTGACCTGTGTACCAGATCTGTAATTCATTTCACACACACTGTCAAGTGTGCCTGAAGATGGGGTGAGGTAGAGAGTGACGATTCACACATCAGAGAACTGCTTATTCCTGCTCCAGGTAGACAGACACAAAGGCAGTGGCTGTAAGGACTGTGAGCTGGATGAGAAGCGCCCTCTTGGTATTGAGGGTTTCTTAGCATTCTGTCTTCTCTACAGCTTTTCTAAGTCTAATTTCTGGTGCACAGAGCTCTCCTCCGTTAACTCTGATGGCACTGTGGTCATTCTGCTAATAACTGCATACCCGCCCTGCTAGGCAGAATGTATTCTTCTGGATATAAGCGGTCAGTGGGCTCCCCATTTCTGATCCCTTACAGGACAGGTTTTTACCGCCATCCTTCCAGCTGCCACCCCAGGCTTTTATCCAAGACTCACTGTTGGTAGACTTCTGGCTCTTCTGTTCAGGAAGAGAGCAGCACCCACATTGCAAGGAATCATCCTTATAATGGGCCTTGGCGACCAAAGCACGTGACTCCTCCTGGAGGGGAGATGGGATTGGCTAAGGTCTCAGGTTTTTCTCTGTCAGTTCTGTCTGGGGACATATTTGAAGGCTCTGTTACCATGGCACCTAGGCACTGAGACAGGGCTACATTAAGAGCAATTTTTGGAGAGAAATAGAGAGATTTCTCTCTGGCTTCCATTTGAGCCAAGTGGATGAATTGGCTTCTTTTGCTTCAATAATTCTGGAACTGCAAGGCACCCCTGGGGGCCCTGGGCTCAGCAAAGCTCTGGTCTTCATTGAAGCATTAATTAGCTTGCACTACACAGACAGTATGTGGCCAAAATTTTATTTAGCCGACAACACTGCTAAGGCCTGATGAATATGCTGGCATATATTCACTTTGTGGAGGCGGGCTATCATGTTTACACTTCCCAGGTGGAAAATAAGCCACATGCAGGGCTGGATAGAGAACCCCTCAGGTGCCTTCCAATTCTGAGCTTCCATGACTGGGATGATCTTCCTCCTGTACTGCCTGGCTTCCTATCCAAACCCAGGCCACATGACTTTTGCAGCCCAGGAAATAGCAATCCAAAACAAAAATCCAGTTAACAGAGTGTAGATAGTGACAGCCCCCCTACATTTAATCCATTTTCCTAAGGCGATATTTGTTTATAGGAACTTAGACAAAATGCAAAGGCTTGTGGAACAGTTATTAGTAAATTCATTTATCCAGACCCTGTTTATACTTCCATTCTGGAATATAATCTTTTTTTTTTTGTTTTTTAGCATAAGGTATGTTGGATTTTGCCCAAAATGGTTATTTGGTGAAACTTGTAATCGATGTGTATACCTTGCACATACTTAAGAAATCTAGCCATTTTCATCTTGCTTTTGGGTGCTAATGCCAAAATAAACTAGAGACTTCTTCAGATGACCTTGGCAAACCTCTCGTCTAGGGCAAAGCCTGCCTTCAGGGAGCTATCCTCCTTAGGGAGTAAGTAGCCTCATATTAACAAGCCCATTTGGTGCCCTAAGCCTTTAGAAATGTCCTTCCCTGATTCACTTTTCTCTCTCCCTCCTTCGTTCCTTTCCCGGCTTTCTTCAAGCAGAGGTTTAGAGGCATCTTCAAGAAATAGCCATTAAGCAGAACACAGAGTAGAGGAGGAAACGTGGATAAAAAGAAAACTGAAGGAAACCACTGAAGTAGACCTGAGTTCCCTGGCAGGCAAAGCAAAAACCTGTCAGAGTCAGTTGTTGTTATAAGATATTTAGTGCCCCAAAACATAAGGATCGACCAGCTTTTCCTGGCATTGAAAACTGAGAGACATCAGAGGACTTCATCTCCTAAAACCTAATTTAACTCACTATGATGAGTTTCATAGAGTTGGGCCTTACAGTATCCTTCCATGTGGGTGCATGTGGACTAAGATACTCCTCAGGAGAAGAGATTCTGCAAGGTTGCGGAGCAGCACAGCCGAGACCCACACCTTCAGGACCGCCCCTCCTTAGCCAGGGGTGGTAAAGGGCTGGGTTTCTAGAACCGTGCTTCTCAGAGTGAAAACTTGGTCCTCCGAGACGCTCTGTGAGGAAGGGGTTCCATGACCAAATGTCTCCCTCTTAAGAGGACGAAGGAGCCTGTAAGCTTATTAATGGCTCTGAGAAGTCCTTCAGTACAGAAACTTGCTTAGCTTTCTTCAATCCAGTGTTTCTCCAAGCTTACTTGGCCCAGGACCCTGGGCAGTTGTCACTGTCTTTGTAAGACTGTGTGTCATAAGCTTAAAAAAGACACAGCTCTTTCTGGTGGTGGCCAGCCACACGGGGAAAGAGGAAAAGGGATGATTTGTTTTCTGCTTCCTAACAAAAACATGTTCTTTTACCCTGTGTCTTGCCTGCGGGGCCTGGGTGGACTTCAGCTGTGACCTCCCTTGAACCTGTTTTCTCACGGGGCCCTTAGGCAAATCGAAGCCAGCTGCGTCTTCGAAGTGGGCTTTTTGTCAACTCTGGTTTTGTTATGTTTGGCCTACCAGGTGCTGCACACCCAACGGGGACCCCTTTTGGGCCACCCCCTCATCACAGCAACTTCCTCAATCCTGCCGCCCACCTAGGTGAGTTACCCAAAATAATGGGAACGGGGTTGTGTGCCTCAGGCAACCTGCCACGCTTAGCATGCTCCCGACGTAGCTCCTGGCAAGCCGGTGGGCGTCCCAGGTACCTCACTCACCGCTGAGGCAGGAGATGGTGCTCTCGGGAGTTTCCGCATGTCTCACAGCACATTCTTCCAGTCGTAGAGCTGTGCTCAGCAGTGGTCCTGCCTACATTTACCGTGGTGCGGTGGGCGGGAGCCATTCCTTGGTACCTCAGGGAATCCGAGTTTACAGCAGCCTGTTCCGCCCACTGGAAGGTGGTGAGCTCTCACCCCGTAGTGAAGGTCACTAGGGAGCGGAAAGAAACACAGGCTGCCGTTACAAAGATGCGCTACTCCACACCTCGTGCCCGATTACCGAGTGTCCCCCAGTGAAGGTGCATGCTTGGTGTGGCCTGGGTGTAGTCGGTCTTTTCTGCACGTGTACGGCAGGTGCAGGCATTGGCTCGCGCACCTTTGGAGTTCCATCGTGGATTCAGATGCCACCTCCCTGTCTGTTCTGTTAGTACCCTGGGGCTGCAGTAGTGCCCCCACTGGGTAAAGGAAGAGTAATGCAGAATACAGGGTTCTGGAAGAAGAGCCTTCAGACATGTGTTGCTAACCCTAAGTGTAATGCACACCTTTGACGCCATCCAGTAGGAGAAGCGGGACAGGCCGGGTCAGGGTGTAGAGAGAGCAGGGATCCCGCGTCGCCTTCCCTGCTCCCAGGAAGCTCCGGCTTCCTCGCTCAGCAGAGCCCGTGACCATTTCCTTCTTGCCATCTCGTTTGCAGAGCCTTTTAATCGGCCGTCTACATTCACAGGCCTAGCAGCAGTTGGTGGCAATGCCTTCGGCGGACTTGGAAATCCTTCCGTTAGTGAGTACCTCTAACTTTTAAAAATCTGCCTTGGACTCTTTGTCTCTGATCTGCATATGGCTCAAGACCTTTCTAATGAAAGGAAACTGCTCCGGGGGTCCAGTGCGGGTTATGTCACGGCAAAAGCGGGCCTTCCCAGGGGGTCGGCTGGAGGCGTGCAGAGCCACCCCGTGAGGGCGGCACGCTCTGAGGGGCAGGAGCGGCAGCGTAGTTGATCCCCGCAGCGCGCTCCCCCAGGTGTGGCGTTCCACCCACACTCCACCTCGGCCCTCCAAAGATTTTGGCTGCAGCTCACTTTAGACATGAAAGCAATAGTTACATTTCATCTTGCCCTTGGCATTAGTGGGACTGAAAAAAGCGCAACGAAAAGTAACAGGAAGATAACACCAGGCTCAGGATAATGAAGGTTTGGCAGCGTTTCATTCTCCATCTGGGAGGACCCTGCGGTTTTCTACTGTTTAAAACACCCATCTCGATGAGGAGAAGAGTCACAGCCCCATCTCACGTTCTAAACAGTAGTCACTGAATACACAGTTGTTTTCATGCCACATGCCATCTATTCTGGGTACAGGAAGAGCCAAAACGTGTCTCTGAGCCTACCGTCTTTAATTAAAGTACAGCAAGGAGACCTGTGTGTGTGTCTGGTGACACTTGAACAGGACAGTGGTGGGCAGAGAACACCGTGCCTTCTGCTCTGAGTTCATTTCGAGTCACTAATCCCGATCCCACCATCATCCCACACCCTCTGCATGCCTGGAACGCCTGCATGCACCGGATATGCTCAGTCAGGTCCTCCCGTTACCCGTGTGGCCCCTTTGCCTGTTTAATGTCCCCGGCCTCCACCTTTGCTTTTGGTTTTAAAGAGAAAAGCTGTGAGCTGCCTCTCCAGCGCAGGACGAGACTTCCTCTAATGAATCTGTCAATCTCCTTTCCTTTTCCAGCTCCCAATAATATGTATTCATTTTAACTCTGAATGCTGTTAACAGTTTTTTGGTAAGTACCTTCATTACAGCAGATTATATAATTTCTCTTAAACCTTTTTGTTCTCCACTTCACCATTTCAGCACCCAACTCAATGTTCGGCCACAAGGATGGCCCCAGTGTGCAGAACTTTAGCAATCCTCACGAACCCTGGAACCGGCTGCACCGAACGCCTCCGTCGTTCCCGACCCCTCCGCCCTGGCTGAAGCCAGGGGAGCTGGAGCGCAGCGCGTCCGCTGCAGCTCATGACAGAGATAGAGATGTAGATAAACGAGACTCCTCCGTTAGTAAAGATGACAAAGAAAGGTACGGAAAGAAACCGCTCTCGAGTCCCCACGGGGGAGCCTGCTCTGTGCCAAGTACCAGTGGGCCCGGCCGCCCACCCTCCCTGTCCCAGCCTCGTGCTCCTCCCCACAGCCAGTGCCCGCAGCCCCCGTGGTCCGTAACGTATGTGACCGTAGGAGACAGCAGAGCTAGACAGATTCCGGTCTCAGCGGCAGTTACTCAGCAGCACGTCCCGAGTCCCTGTTAGCGTGTCCAAACAGAAGTCTTTCTCCAGGAGACAGGGAGTCGGAGCTCCGGGCCAGACACACACAGCATGAATCAATTCCATATTTGCTTTCAAGTCCGTGCAGTCCATTAAACCATCCATAGGTTTTGCTCGCTCTTTTCCTCTCTTTTTGTTTTCTTTTAGAAAGCCATGTTTGCATTGCCTCATATTTTTCTCAAATTTCGTTCAAACGCAAAGCCTGGGGCTCACAGATGACTAATACGATTTTACTCACTAGATGTCGAGAAACGTCGACAAGCAGTGTGGGTTTGGCTTCAGTTTCACTAGAGGATAATTTTGTTAACTGTTGTCTCTGCACTTGGTGACCCACGCCTAAAAAAGAAGTAGCCTTCAAGAGGAAATGTCTTGCCATATTTTTTTCCAGAGAATATCATACGCATTCTTGACAAAATGTCTTTTTTCTTTCTTTAGGCTATTTTCACTTTAAATGAACTGATAAGGAATGCACAAATATGCTTGACAGAAAATACCTAATCCCAATTTCTTTGCAATACTTACTTAAGATTCAAATTCGGTCCAAATCTTTACTGTTTCTTTTCTCTCTCTCTCTCTCTCTCTGTGTGTGTGTGTGTGTGTGTGTGTGTGTGTATTCTAGTAATTTAAAAGAATTCAACTTTGCAGGCTTTAAATGGGGAGGATTAGTAGATACTTATCACAGGCCATCTTGCAGGCTGATAAAAGAAAAAGACATTTTCCTTCAAGGCAGTATGATAACAATCTCTTAACCACTGGGAGGAACCTTTATGCCATTAGCTCTGAGCTGCAAACTGCTGAATGAGGCACGCCGAGCAGCTAACCTGGCAGACCCTAGGCGTGAGCCATCCGTACACAGCCCGTCACTGGGTGCAAAGCAGGACGTGGCCACCAGACCTCTGCGTAGTTTTCTGGATAGCATCAAACTGGCCTCCTGGATTCAAGTCAGGAGGCTTAATAAAGGAAATATACTCTTCTTCCATACTTACCGTAAAAGTTGCTCCTCTTCTCTGCGTGTGGGCAGGAAACAGCCCTTAGAGGAGAGAGCCGCCTGCATTCTCTCACTGTGGTCCTCTGTCCTTGCATGCCACACCAAGCCCGCGTGGCAGCCTGCTGCTCTCAGCTTTGCCATGTCTATCTTGGCGCCATCCCCAAGACTTGCCTGGTCTTACTTTTATCTCCAGTTTTACCTTACTGTCATTCCGTTTGTTCTGGCATTTTCTGCCCAGTACCCTTGAGCCGGCCATCCAAGACCAATCTCTCAAATGCTCGTCTGGCGTCTTCACTCACAGCTGCTCTCAAAACTTGTTTCTGATGTCCCCGTGAGGTTTTGTTTAGGGACCTACTGCCTTCCCTCTGCCCTCCCATGACCCTGCGGCTTTCTGATCCTATCTGGTCCGCAAGTGCTCTTCGCAACCCCACAGTCCTGCAGCTGTGGCTTCCTTCTGAGCCTCCCTCACGTGCTGTGTCTGGGAGATGGCTCCCTATCTAGTTCTTTGCTCTGAAATAGGGTCACCTGTCCCTGTGAGGAGCAAGGCACTCCTGTGACACGATGTTGAACTCTTCCTTCCACGGGCTCTGTGTTGCAGAGTTGGGCCAACAGTGATACTTGGCACTGGGCTCTTGGAGCGTTGTTCTTGACACTAGATGATCCTGAGAGTCCACACAGTGGGGCTAGCCTGCCACATCACTGCCTTCTTGGCTTCCTGGAAGCTCTTCCTCTGTGCTCTTGGTTGAGGCTCTTACATGCAGAGAGATTCTTGCTCCCGGCAGAGTCCCCTCGCCCTCCTCCCTGGTCCGTCTCCCCCATTAAGCTTCCTCTGAAATCTAGGTAAGTAGGATGAGGGGCTGGCTCTGCTCTGCGACCATGGGAAGCAGTCCCAAGACTGTCCTCTTCACACCACCATTTCACCCGCAGCCCCTGCCCGCCCGACTCCCCCGTTTCATCCGCATCCTTGTCTCCCGTCTTCCCCAGGGAAAGCGTCGAGAAGAGACACTCCAGCCACCCTTCACCAGCACCTGTCCTCCCGGTGAACGCCCTGGGACATAACCGCAGCTCCACCGAACAGATCCGGGCCCATTTGAACACTGAGGCTCGGGAGAAGGACAAACCCAAAGAGCGGGAGAGAGAGCACTCGGAACCCCGCAAGGACCTGGCCACGGACGAGCACAAGGCGAAGGAGGGCCACCTGCCCGAGAAGGACGGGCACGGCCACGAGGGGCGCGCCGCAGGCGAAGAGGCCAAGCAGCTGGCCCGGGTGCCATCCCCCTACGTGCGGACCCCCGCGGTGGAGAGCGCCAGGCCCAACAGCACCTCGAGCCGGGAGGCTGAGCCGCGCAAGGGTGAGCCGGCCTACGAGAACCCCAAGAAGAGCTCCGAGGTCAAGGTGAAGGAGGAGCGGAAGGAAGACCACGACCTGCCTCCGGAGGCCCCACAGACCCACCGGGCCTCAGAGCCGCCGCCTCCCAACTCCTCGTCCAGCGTGCACCCGGGGCCTCTGGCCTCCATGCCCATGACGGTGGGGGTGACGGGCATTCACCCCATGAACAGCATCAGCAGCCTGGACAGGACTCGCATGATGACCCCCTTCATGGGCATCAGCCCCCTCCCGGGTGGAGAGCGCTTCCCGTACCCTTCTTTCCACTGGGACCCCATCCGGGACCCCTTGAGGGATCCTTACCGAGAACTTGACATTCACCGGAGAGACCCGCTGGGCAGGGACTTTCTGCTGAGGAACGACCCGCTGCACCGGCTCGCGACTCCCCGGCTGTACGAAGCCGACCGCTCCTTCAGGGACCGGGAGCCTCACGACTACAGCCACCACCACCACCACCACCACCACCCGCTGTCGGTGGACCCTCGGCGGGAGCACGAGCGGGGAGGCCACCTGGATGAGCGGGAGCGCTTGCACATGCTCAGAGAGGACTACGAGCACACGCGGCTCCACTCCGTGCACCCCGCCTCCCTGGACGGACACCTGCCCCACCCCAGCCTCATCACCCCAGGACTCCCCAGCATGCACTATCCCCGCATCAGCCCCACGGCGGGCCACCAGAACGGACTCCTCAACAAGACGCCTCCGACAGCAGCGCTGAGCGCGCCTCCCCCGCTCATCTCCACGCTGGGGGGCCGCCCGGTCTCTCCCAGGAGGACTACTCCTCTGTCTGCGGAGATCAGGGAGAGGCCTCCTTCCCACACGCTGAAGGATATCGAGGCCCGATAAGCCGAGAACAGGAGCACTCACGAGGAAGAAGAAACCCTAGGCAGACACCAGGCCAGGCTTGAGAGAGAGAGAGAGAGAGAACTCCTGCATCGCTCACACGGACTTGGGGGGAAGCCCCACCTCTTCCCCTTGTAGAAATGTATAGACTCCGTGCAGATTTTGAAATGTTTTGTATATTATAGGTTGAGATTTTTCAGCTCTTTTAACCCAGTCACATGTCCCCATGTCTCCTGCTTTTTGTTTCTCGTAGAAAACTTTTTGAACCAAAACAGTGAAGATGACAACACACGCCCATTGGATGATCATTGTGGGGGGGCGGGGGGGTGTCCACACCGCCATCCATCATGCAAAACTTTCAGATGAGGTGGGACGGCCGTGTACATAGTTACTGTAAAAAGAGAGTGCTTCATGAGCTAATGGTTCATATATGCAAATGGGTAAGACGAAAGCTTTACTTTGTACAAATGTAAATAGATAAAGATTAAGTAACATAATACATTAATACTTCTTAAAATGTGCTATTTGCAAACTTAATATCAGTGAACACAGTCGGCTGAGGCCGTGTTCCCATATATTGTTATAGACAGCTAAACCCTTCAACTATGCAATGAATGTTCGGGCTTTTCACAAAAGCCCGCCTAACTCAAAGGAGCCTTTTCAGACCCATTTACAACATACTTAAGGTCATATTTTCCCTGAACAAGCGCTTACACGATATGACTGTTTTCCTTGTTTTTTTTTTTGTTTTGTTTTTGTTTTGTTGTTTTTTTTTTGTTTTTGTTTTTGTTTTGTTTTGTTTTTTCAAAAGGAGAAACATCCTATTTTGCAAATTGGACCCCAGGCTGGAACTTTGCATCTGAAGTTGCCGCTTGTGGGCTTTGGGGTAAAGTGCAGCCCCAGAGAGGTAACTGAGGACGTGAGCAGCCGGTGCCGGGGAGGATGGGGTTTGCCAGATGCCAAAATCAGGACGGGTGGTGGTGTCGGACAGACACGCACAGGTCGCCAGTGACTTCACACACACCTCATGTGAGAGCCATGCTTTTTTTAGTGTGTCCTCTTTCATACCTGTACACGCTTCCTCGTGTTGTAATGAGATTTACTTACACCCAAACAGATCCTGAAAGAAAGCTTCCAAGTTTTCTCAGATGATGGATATGTTTTCACTGTTTTCAATAACCGACCAGTGGAAGGTGCACGTTTCCCAATGTAAGGCGCTGTATTCCAGCTGGCGAGCGAGTCTGGGGGCAGCCGTGACAGGCCAACCTTGTGGAGCCATCGCGAGTTAAAGAGCGTGAAAGATGGCAGAAAAAAAGTCTCGTGTGCGAGTGTGTTTTTTGAGTTTGCATCAATCTTAATGTCTCTTCATAATACTTTTATAATACATTAAGCCTCTTGTCTACATATTTGGAGAGAATATGACTTTACTAGCAGAGAAATACAATATATCTTGTCTACTGGACTGTAAAATATATGTATGAAATAAAATTAGTTCCATTTGGTCTTCTAGTATATTAAAGTGCTATCTGACGTTGTTACCCTGTTTTTGCAAAAAAAGAAAAAAAAAAGTTAACTACAGACCATTGTTTCTAATAAGCAGAGAGATCTATTTTAGTAGTAAACTGAAGGTTTAGTTGTGAGCTTCAGATTTTGTGAACTCCAGATGTTGTGCAGTGTTTTTTTTTTAAAGACAACAACTAAAAAAAATTCCAAGGAATATGTACACTGGAACTGTAGTGGTAGCTTTCAGTATTGTAAAGAGATTGTTCTATACAGACCTTTTTGCTGTTTATCCTGTATGTAATAAAGTCCTTTCTAGAGCCTATGTGAAAAGAAAAGTGAAGCAACTGAATCTTCAGCATGTTCTCATCGGCGGAGCCTTCTTGTGTAATGTAAACTGTGCCATGTTATTAAAAAATGTGAACTAAGCTTCCAGCTGCTTGTTTGTGTGAGATGACCGTCATCGCCCTAGGGAAGAAGGCATGCCTGTACCAGATCGGGCCCTTGAAAAGAAACACCTCAAACCCAGCCCGTGTAAGAACAGAAAGCTCAGCTGCCGTGGCTGGCCACCTATCTAACTCGGTTAGCGTCGCCCCAATGCATTACTGCAAACATTTGCACCCCACACAGTCGATCGTGGTTGGTTGTTTTCCGGAGGGGGGGCGGGAAGGGAGGAGGGTTCTGTTTGTTTTTGTATGTTCCAAATCCTGTAAAAGGCAGGTAACTTCTGGATTTTGTAGGTGTTTGTACAGTGTGGGTAAGTTGGCCAGTCCCATGTGTCCCTCTGGGCTACTTCGAAACTCAGCAAAAGTGTTTGCTTTTCCAGCAGTGATGAGACCTCTGACCGAGGGCCTGCGACAACAGTTTTTGCTTGCTCGTTCTGTGGCATTTCAGTCTGGACTCAGTCGGCCGCATGTTACTTCAGACCTGCCAGATACATGTTTTTCCTGTCTCGGCTTTTCCTCTTTTAATTACGTTGTGTGGCCCTCATCAGTTTACAGTCTCCCTGTCCTCTAAAATCTGTTTTTTTCCCATGATGTTCAGAAAAAAATTGTTAAATATTCTTTTTTTTTTTTTTTTTTTTTTTTTTTGAGACAGAGTTTCGCTCTTGTTACCCAGGCTGGAGTGCAATGGCAAGATCTTGGCTCACTGCAACCTCCGCCTCCTGGGTTTAGGCAATTCTCCTGCCTCAGTCTCCTGAGTAGCTGGGATTACAGGCACGTACCACCATGCCCAGCTAATTTTTGTATTTTAGTAGAGACGGGGTTTCACTATGTTGACCAGGATGGCCTTGATCTCTTGACCTCGTGATCCACCCGCCTCGGCCTCCCAAAGTGCTGGGATTACAGGCTTGAGCCATCGCGCCCAGCCAAAAATTGTTAAATATTCTTGTATCAACCCTGATGAAATTGCTACTTGGATGAGGTTGGACTGGGTGTTCATATGTTCTTAGGGAAAAAAAACAGAAGTGGTTCCAATCAGCAAGATCTGGGTAGCTGCTGAATGGGAATCAAATAATAGAAATGCTTCGAAATGGGGCTCCTGATTGGAGTGGGATGTGCTGTGGACGCCTGTGGCTTCACAGGGGCGTGGGCTCTGCAGACCCCAGTGCAGTTTGTAGGCTTAAGCTAATCTGGGCAGAGCAGTGACAAACGAAAGCCCTTTTCACTCAGCCCTGTTTTCCTGTTAATACCTGACTCCAAACTGAAGAAAGTAAGAAAAACCTACTGGATTGAAAAACACGGTCAACACTGCGTTTTTGCAGATCAGGCAGTTCTCAGGCCCCTCCTTTGCTATGTATCACCGCTCCAAACATACACCCATTTTGACGTCGCCATCTGCAATGTCGGGACGTAGGAGAGTCAGACTCTCAATTCAGCCACGGTCTTTAATCCCCAGGGCTCATTCATCTCAACCTTTGCATGTTCCCTCCGTAATCACACTCAGCTCCTCAGCTCTGATGGGTACCAGCACCAATTTGATTTCTTGCTACCCTATAGATGCTCTAATTATCTCCCCATCTTTGACTGACAATGATCTTGTTAACTTCTAATGGTACATGACAGGTAAAATAGCGAATGTAATGATGTAATAATTACCACTTTAGATGGATATTTGCCACGGCATTTGCTGTTTATCCATTTTTCTGCCTCAATCAAGGTAGATGAGGGGAAATGAGACACAACTGTTGACATGCTATACATATGTAGCATAAAGAGAAGTTAAAGGCAGAATTTTACGGTGCGGGCAGCCATGCTCTTGTGGGGTGCTAAAGGCCTATGTCTGTATCTGTACTGAAAAACAAATTAGGCCTCAGTGGCATTAAATCGGTTGAAGGAACAAGGACAACAAATGTGACCTGGGCTTTCTCATTTAAAAAAAAAAAAAAAAAAAAAAAAAAAAAAAAAAAAAAAAAAAAAACTCTGCCATCCTTTTTGTGAATTTCTGAAAAAAAAAAAAAAAATATATATATATATATATATATATATATATATATATATATTTTTTTTTTTTTTTGAAACCTAGTCTCATTCTGCTGCCCAGGCTGGAGTGCAATGGTGCAATCTCAGCTCACTGCAACCTCTGCCTCCTGGGTTCAAGTGACTCATGCCTCAGCCTCCTGAGTAGCTGGGACTATAGGCATGCGCCACCGCACCCAGCTAAACTTGGTATTTTTAGTAGAGACAGGGTTTCACCACGTTGGCCAGGCTGGTCTCGAACTCCTGACCTCAAGTGATCCGCCTGCCTCGGCCTCCCAAAGTGCTGGGATTACAGGCGTGAGCCACTGCACCAGGCCTGAAAAACTCTTAAACACACAAAGTTTCCTTGCAATAAAATAGGGTTATTTTCCAGATACGAAATTATGTTATCTAAGGCTGTCAATTCCACAACATGAAATTCCTAGTCTTTGCCACTGTCACAAGTACTAAACTAAGATTCTCATATCTGACGCCCAAAATGCTACATTTCTGATGATGAGCTTGGTGGGAAGGGGTCCTTGGGCCACGGTCATGGGGGCTGAACCCACCCCTTGTGCCTTCACATGGTGACCCTGCACACAGGGCCTCTTTGGAACTCAGTTTCCTAATGTGTCAAATGACACAATCTAAACAAAATGAGGGCTAAAAACATGAAGGTCGTAAGCCCAAAATTCAGCATGGTGTGGGTGGAATTTTGCTGCCTGCAGTCCCAGGATTTAGAGAAATGGTGGACTGGGTAGAGAATGGCCCCACAGCCCATACCAAAAGGAAAATAACTTGAAAAACTTCAGGGGTGGCCAGGCACAGTGGCTCATACCTGTAATCCCAGCACTTCAGGAGGCTGAAGCGGGTGGATCACTTGAGGTCAGGAGTTTGAGAGCAGCCTGGCCAACATGGTAAAACCTCCTCTCTACTAAAAATACAAAAATTAGTTGGGCATGGTGGCGGGTGCCTGTAATTCCAGCTACTCGGGAGGTTGAGGCAGGAGAATCACTTGAACCCAGGTAAAGGAGGCTGCAGTGAGCCGATATCACATCACTACACTTCAGCCTGGGTGCCAGAGCGAGACCCAGCCTCAAAAACAACACTTTAGTGGCTACAGACTCTTGCTAAAGATTTGCTGAAATGTTTGGCAGGTCCAAAGGGAGTGGGTGATGCTTCCAGAGCTTCTAATTTGCAGATGTTTCTCATCTGGTGAGGGGAGGGGCGGGGTGGATTAAAACTGCATCTGGTTAAGGCACTCAGAGTATTGTCACAGAATCACAACCTGCTGTTTTACCCAAAATGTGCCCTGATGCTGACATATACAAAGTGAAGCTTAGTCTCGGAGCCTGTATTTGGAGATCTCTGTGGCCTGGAACAGATGCCTTCAAATACTAGGCTTGTGTGCTATACAGTTATTGGGCAAATAGGCCTTAGTTTCCTCATCTGTAACTTGAATTTCTTGGGTGATGTTGAAAGTCCTCTTCAAGCTGTTTGGATTTTGGATTTTGCATCTCTTTTCAGCCTCAATCAGATTTTTTTTTTTTTTTTTTTTTTTTTTTTTTTGGTAAGAGGCAGGGTCTTGCACTGTCACCCAGGCTGGAATGCAGTGGTGCATTCATAGCTCACGGCAGCCTCCAACTCCTAGACCCAAGGGATTCCCCCACGTGAGCCTCCTGACTGACTGGAACTACAGGTGTACACCCCCACACCTGGCTCATTCTTTTATTTTTTGTAGAGACTGGGTCTCACTATGTTGACCAGACTGGTCTTGAACTCCTGGCCTCAAGCTGTCCTCCCTCCTCGGCTTCCCAAAATACTAGGATTGCTGGTGTGAGCCACCGCACCCGGCCCCCTTTTAAACCTGATTTACCTTCTCACACCCTGCAGTCCAGCGCGGCCGAGTGAGTTACTATTCCCCATGCTTCCTAGCAGCATCTTCTCCACATCTATCTGCAGTTTCTTTTACCTCTTTCCAAAGGCCCTGGCGTCAGAGTCTGAGTCACACCAAATGGCAGCCCAGAGCTGTCTCGGTAAACCCCCCCTCTTTGGGACTGTCTCAGGGCCTGGCTTGCGCTCCTCCCCGACCCTCCGCTCAGCACTCTGTTCTGCGGTTCCACACCTCTCTGGGTCCTCAGCTCCTCCAGGCAGGGCCCTCTCTTACATTCTTCCAACTGGATTATCTCCCGTAATGCTCTCAATGACCTTGCAAGGTAGGTATAGGTACAACCTCAATTGGACGAATGAGGAAGATGAGGTGCAAAGAGGTGGAGTCATTTGTCCATGTTCAAGTGCAATTACAAGTGTTCAAAATACACACCCGGGCAGTTCCCCTCTAGAGCTACACCTCACCATGGCCCTGTGCTCCCACAGAGTAGAGGCTTGCTGAGTCAATGCACCAGATCAACAGCCATCCTTTGCTCACCAAACACATGCTTGTAATTAGCACCTAGACTGGAGTACAGTGGCACAATCATAGCTCACTGCGGCTAGAGTATGGGGAATGCTGATTGGTTGGGTTGGGGATGAAATCATCAAAGCGGTCTTCTTGCACTGAATCAGTTTCTGGCTATGGTCACAGATCTGGTTGAGCCAGTTTCTTGGCATGCATGGGTCACTGGTCCAGGTGGTGCCAGTTGGTCTATCAGAATGCAAGGTCTGCAACTGCCTTGAACACCAGTCTTAAGTTTTACAATAGTGGTGTTATCTCCAGGAACAGTTGGGAAGGTTACAAATCTTGTGACCTCTGGCTACATGACTCCTGAGCCATAATTCTAATATTGTGGCCAATTTGTTAGTTTTAGACAAAGGTGGTTTCAGTCCCCAAGCAAGGAGGGGTTAGTTTTAGAAAGGTACTGTTATCATCTTTGTTTTAAAGCTAAACTATAAACTAAATTCCTTCCATAGATAGTTTGACCTATACCCAGAAATGAGCACGGATAGTTGGCTTTTGTGAAGTTAGAAGCAAGATG